AGATAGATAGATAGATAGATAGATAGATAGATAGATATAGATACATAGATAGATAGATAGACAGACAGACAGACGGATAATGTATAGATCTATATAGATATAGATATTATCTGTTATTAAGGTTAAAATAACAATACATGAATTCTGCCAAGTAAGAATTTTCAAACTTTTTTTCAAACAAGTTTCTCATATTCTATGTCAAGGGAGGGGTAAACTGCACCTGTTGATTAGTTTAGAAACGACTTCTAATGCCTTATCATTCTAAGAATCAGCCCTTAGACTGGCTGAATTTGCAAAGGAACAGCAACACAGCCATTCATTCCTTTGGGTAAGAAATACCAAAGGAAATGAGTCTAGAACAAGGGAGGCATACAGTGCAGCAGTTCGTAAGAAAAGCTTTCAGTGTCTTGAGGGAATCATCTGCTGAACTTGAGCCAAGACTGATGCATCGGCAATAAAAGCACAGTCAACCTTAAAGTGCATCAACCAAAGCATAGTATGGGATCAGAAGAGCCATATAAGCCATTCTTAAATGTTTTGTCCAATTCTGGACATATCATCCTAGGAAGGATAAACTAGACTAGAGCATATCCCAAAAAAATTATACTAAACATTTTGGAAAATGAAAGACACGAGGAGTAGTTAGAGGCATTGGGGAACTTGAGTTAAGAGAAGGCTGTGGTTAATTTCCATTGGAATCTGAAGGGTTAAAATTTCAAGGAAGCAGATTTGCACGGAACATAAGAATTTTCTGATAGTTAAGCAATGGAACAGCCTGCCTTAGGAAGTAGTACATCTACACTGGAGGTATATAAAAAGAAGCTGGATGTGGATTCTTGTATTAGGCAGGGAGGTTGGATTAAACTATCTCTAGTGTAACTTCTTGCTCTTGATCTGTATTTCCATAATTCTGTGGTTGTGTATTTGTATTTCTTGTATGAAATGTTCATAGATGGAGATAAATTTTGTAAATTGGATATACTTTATTTAATGGGCAAGTAGTATTATTTAATAGTTATTCAATCAATAGGTATATTTTGTCTGTGTTCTGGCCGTGCCATTTTTCATTTCTTCTTAGCAGGGATATGATGGATACATATATTCAAATATGTCACATCCACACCTTTTATTGAGTAGGTGGCAATCTCCAGCATTGATTTCAGCAGAAGTTGGCAAACCAAACTTGACAAGATGGCACATTGTGTCATAAAGTTTTTATCTTTCTTTATATTTTTTGCCTATTCACACTTCCTGGGTGATGAGGGAGAGAGTTTTTTCAAATTCATGGTAGCCTTCCTTTTGGGAAAATACAATATCATGATTCCCTCAGCTAAAATTAGAATGTTACAATCTCATTATGTGTTGCTTGTCTGATTTATCTTTACCTTCTAAGTTTGTTAGCAACAAGTTACTCTTCCAGTTACACAGGCTACCGGTACTATGAAACCTAGAGCAGGGGTGTCAAACTTGCGATGACACGTCATCACATGACGTATCGCAGCTTTCCCTCCTTTCGCTAAAATGAGGTGGGTGTGGCCAGCACGTGACGCATCCAGCCCATGTGCAGCGAGTTTGACACCCTGGCTTAGAGCCTAGTTCTGAAACTGTGGCCTAGAGCCTACTTCTGAAACTGTTACAGGAAGTGTTGATTCCTTGCTTCGCCATCTGCTCAATCAAAGCATTGCTGCTGCAAACCTCCTTATACTCCTGTGTAAAGCATAACACCTCTGCCAGCAACACAAACTTTTTTGATTTAATTACAGGTGACAGTACATTGGAATATACATCAACACGAGAATCATTAATAAACCTGCAAAGAAACATTGGAGTTAAGTGCCGCACATTAAATTGTATTGCAGCTGTTTTAACAGATCATCACATTCTTTGTCCTTCACTTGTAAATCTCAAATTATTCACTTGGCAATGGGATAGTGAGTTGCATTGCTCCTGTGGTATAATACTATATGCTTTTATCAATTCCCCAAAGCACGTACATTTTTGTGCAGAAGAATAATACAATGATCCTTTCAATGGAATTTCAAAAGTATTTTGGCAAGGTGTTTCCTTTGTTGCTTTTTTTTTCTTTCTTCTTTAGGGATTAGAAAGAGACTCTTGGACACTCTTGTATCAAAACTGCAAGAAGCCACCATCCTCCTCTAATCCAGTCATGCTGTTTCCTCAAAATTGCCTCCTTTTTGGTCCAACTTCAGCAGCCAACATCCAGAAGTAATTGGCATCCAGTCTGCCCATGCTTGAAGTCCACCTGGAAGTGGCAATTAATCCAGAATGCACTGGTGCAAATATATAACACCACTGCATGGTGAATTGCAACAGCTCCCAATTAGTGTTGAGGAGCAATTTGATATGCTGATTACCCCTTATAAAGACCTACCTGGAGCAGGACTAGGTTATCTGCAGGAGGGCCTTTCTTCCATTGTTTCTGCAAATCCCATATGCTCTAAAGATATTACAGACATGCTCCAAATCTATTCCTTCAAGTAATGTCAATCGAAGGGGCCTAAGAGCAGAGGTGGGCTGCACATACATTAACAACCGGTTCTCCGGAAATGTGAGCACCTCGCTTTCACACGGTTTTAAACATACAAAAAATCTTCTCAGGCAGCCATGGTGAGTAGAGCAGGTGAGGCACGGCAATCAGCTGGGCTTCATGGGCAGGGAACGAAGCCAGAGAGTGAGATAAATAGGAGAAGCTAGCACGGGGGAGTAGATGGGTCCAGCTGGTGGTTGGAACTAGTGGTTCGCTCGAACTGGAGACAGCCCACCTCTGCCTAAGAGACATTCCTTTTCTATTGCAAATGCAGGGCCTTTGGTTGGCCCTGATTCCGTTGGCTTTTAGAAAGGTATTAAAAACTTGGCTTTTCCCTTTGGCATTGGGCATGGAAGGATGATAAGGGTCTCCTTGGTAAGGTATGTAAATTGAAGATTCCCAATCATCTAGCTGTTGGCATTTTTTTTCTTTTTTAAAAAAATGTTTTTTTTCTTATTGATGTATGCCATCTAGCATCCTACCTGGGTATCTACGTACAATAAACGAATAAGTAAATGTTTATTTTGATTTTCCTTCAGGGATTCAAGTACTCCTTCCCTCCTACTTTTTGCCACAACATGGAAAGCAAACTGGGCTGAGAGTGACCAGAATTCGCTCTGGAAGATTTCCTGGATGTAGATGGAGTTGAATCTAGGTCTTCCTGGAATCAATCCTAGATCTTAACAACTACATGCTCATAAATTTCTTGCATTGATATTTTCCAACCCAACCCATGGAAATATTGATGTATTGCCTGGAAAAGACATTGTGCCAGAGAATTAAGAGGAAAATTAAATGGTGAGGGAGCACTGTTGCGGACTGTTGCACACAACACTATTTTTCTAGGACCACAGTCTTAGAGCCATCATTCTTTGATCCCTAAAGACAATTCTTTGCAATTATGAAAACCAAAATCCTACCAAAATAGAACATAGAACTTAAACTTTGTAAATCTCTTGGCATCCCAAGCTAATTATAATTTACTATGGTTAGTGAGATTTATGATACTCCCAAATAAATGTGCCTAAGACTACAATTTCAATGCTTCTCCTGGATATGTAATTGTCAATAACCACAATAAATAATTATGTGGAGCAAGGCATTTGTTCAGTCTAAATAAATGCTGTCCGATTTTCTTCATGAAGGAATGCCACACAATTGTCCATTAGGGTCTTCAATTACATGCCTTAACTTACACAATAAGTTCAGACTTTGGCAAATGAGTTGCTACCAAAGTAGGCGACACTAGGCATCCTAGATCAGTGGTCTCATTCAGAAGTATAAGGCAGGTAAATGGATGAATACAGCATATGTTGGGGAATGGCAACCAATGTTAGTCCTCAAACTTCATTTTGACTGCTTCTGAGCTCTTTTTCATTTTATTTATTGAAAACTATTGCCACTTTCCCATCATTTTCAGCACATGTAGAGCCGAGGTGGCACAGTGGTTAGAGTGCAGTACTGCAGCCACTTCAGCTGACTGTTAGGTGCAGTTCAGCGGTTCTAATCTCACCGGCTCAAGGCTGACTCAGCCTTCCATCCTTCCGCGGTGGGTAAAATGAGGACCCAGACTGTGGGGGCAATATGCTGACTCTGTAAACCACTTAGAGAGGGCTGAAAGTCCTATGAAGCGGTATATAAGTCTACTGCTATTGCTATTGCTATGTGGCAGTGGAAGCCATACGATAAATAAAATGTTTAATGAAGTTTAAAACCAAACTTCCACTACGCTCCTCTTACACCTTCCCTCCCCACTGCAGAAAAACAGAAAACAGCACTCCTAGGCATCTATGAAAGGCAGACTCACCCATTTATATAATTATTCCCAAAACTGAGTCCCCACTCTCTCCCTCCCTCTCTCTCTCTCCCACACTCCCTCCCTCTCTCTCTCTCCCACACTCCCTCCCTCTCTCTCTCTCCCACACTCCCTCCCTCTCTCTCTCTCCCACACTCCCTCCCTCTCTCCCTCACACACTCTCTCTCCAAAAATCTCAAATCTAGCTCCCGCCCATTACTCTAGATTAGTGTTTTTCAACCTTGGAAACTTTTGAGATGTTGCCTGTCTGGGGTTGGGAGGGATTCTTGGGCACACATCTCAAAGTTGCAAAAGCACAGCTCTAGATGACTGCTAGGCATGATGATGATGATGATGATGATGATGATGATGATGATGATGATAATGATGATGATGATAGTATACCAATTGCAAGTGAACAAGATACTGTGCTTCCCAAAGGCTTTTTGATACCTTTAACATTCTATGTTAATCTCGAAATACAAGGAATCTACATCTCCCCACTCTGGGTATCTCAGCTGGGTGTGTATTTTAGTTGTAAGAATCATTTATACTTCCGGATTTACAAACTATAAGGCAGGTTCCATTTCACTCATCCCAGGAGGCTGCCACTGTTTTGCTGGTATGGAGCATGCACAAAATACAGAGAACAATGGCTTGTTTTTTATGAGCCACTTTTAATTTTAACAAGGATTTACCCTCCACCCCCACACAGCCCTGCTTACCCAACACCTAGATTTTAATCAGTCTGGCACATAGATCATTTTAAGCCTTGTACATTATACCAAAATAATGATTAAATATATAACAGAACAAAAATTTTCACTTCAGGACCAAACTAATAAGCAAACCTCTCTCACAGCTCAGCTTGTATTTTAATAATTAACAAGCTCTAAGCTGTCATTCCTTATCGCTTTACAGGGCAAATTGCTGGCTGAGGGATGATCTGCAGGGTTAAGATCCAGATGTAATACCTCTTCCAGTTTACCTGTTTACATGCAAGTTCCACATGAAAAGCATTACCTCCCTTAGCAATAGGAACTTTATATGTTTTAATGGGTGGGTTCAGAACTCTGGTCAGCTGTATGGCATAATGTTGGTGTGCCTATGAAATAATGCTTCAACAAAGAACATATATGAATGAGAAATAACACATCAGACCCATTCTTCCTGCCAACAGTCGGTTCAAGAGATATGTTGTCATGGAACTGTACCCTATCTAGATGTACACGAATTAGTCCTATGTGAGGATGGCAGAGATACGCAGGGAGCAACCTGCATTTTTCTCTTGAATAAGACGGTTTTATCTAGATATTTAGGTCCAAAAACATGTTGGGATACAGAAGCAGAGAATTTTTTTTTAAGTAAAGCACAACAGAAAATAGAAGTAACCCAAAAACTTTAAGGTGGTTAATTTGAATCAAATATTTCAATGCTCCTAATAATTTTAAGTACATGGATACTAGCTAAGCCATAAGAAGAATGTGCTGCTTTCTGTGTTGTCTAAAATCTTGTTCCACATTCATTTGTGTTTAGTTTTCTAGGCGCCCATATAATTCTTACTCATCATCATAACCTCAACCTTATTAATGAGAGACTTCTATAAGTATCAGCAGGCTTTTAATCAGGTGCTACTGATCTTTCAGAACACAGAGATGGTAACGAAAATGAGATGCTCACCATAGATGATATTTGGGCTAAAAAAAAAAGGAAGATGTCAGAAAAGCTGCATGTCTTCACCTCTGAAATGTCTCAACAGGCAACAATAAAATTAGAAAAATAGCAGGACTTCTTTATCTATCAGCATCGTTTTCTTCCAATGTGTTCATTTTGAAGTGCTGCATTTTGCATCAGTTGTAGGTTACAGAGTCTTTTTTTCTGCCATAAGAGCCAGTTGTGCTTAGAGCAAGAGATGAAACATTAGTTGTTTTTGAGATGCTTGGATGTATTACTCACTATCACAGTACCTCCACAAGCACAGCAAGTGTTAAACAGAGAAAGAGAAATGGAGCACAGAATAAGAAAGACATCTTAAAGCTGTCTGACAGGCAAATGCCTACAATGAACTAACTCCAGTAATGCCCCAAGCAAGCCTGGGAAACACGCAGTCATATGACATAATTCCCGAAGCAGTCTGGAATATGCTACCAGATAGATCTTGCTTCTTGAACATTAGAATAATCACTCTAAATTTGGCCCAAGAGATGTAACCAAGATTTTTAATAATTCTACTGTGGCACCTGAAATTCTACAAAAGGCTAGTCATTCAGTAATGATCACTAACCAAAACCAAGTGACTGCCATGCAGCATTACTTTAGCAGCCTCGCCCTCCCTCCCCTGGGCCAAAACAGGGAGTGCTGAGAGAAACCCAGAAAAACATTAGGCTCAGTATCTACCTGAAGAAACCACAGCAGTAAGTCTTTATAGAAAGCAAAACTTTGATGGCCAAGTCCAAATATAGTTGATTATGACTAGAAGCAGTAACTGGCCAGCTTGCCCTGCTCTTGGTCCAAGTCATGGCAAGCAAACAATGTGCCAAATTTATCCATCTGATTGATTAAGGTGTTGTTATTCTCTGTTTTAAAGCAACCAGAAGTCTTGTGTTGTCTGTCTCGTTAAATCGGAATATCCAACCAATACTGAATGAATGGGGAACTGCTTCCACTCTGCCATCTTCAGAATGAAGACATTTCTCACAGTAATTCATCCCCAGTTCATCATCCTATCACATGGCATGCCCAGTTACTTCCTACCTGTTCCTCATGTTTCACAAAGTCAGTCCAAATGACTTCACACTGCTTGTTAACTTCCAGGGCAACACAAAACTTTTTCCAAAGCCTAGCATTAGAGAAAAGAAGAATGGGAGGGGGGGGAATCATTTATCTGTGCTATTATTAAAAAAATGACAAACCTGTTTATTTTTGACCTAAGAAAATTGTCCCATGAAATATTTGCACCTGAACCTCTAAATGATTCAGGTTAACAAAGAAAACATTTTGATTCATTAACACAGGGAATTTTACAAGGTGCATGAGGGATTTGATGTTTGAAGATTTATATTCTATTTTTTGATCAGCCTTACTGTATTTCCTATTGGTGAAAAACTGGAAAACCAGAGAAACAGTTTCCTAATTTAGAAATTCCCCTGCTATGGAAGTTGTCCAACAGGCTAGTTTCCAGGTGTGCAAAACAGTCTCTACAATCAGAAAGAAGGTTTAATTATTGTATGTGTCTTCCTTGAACATCTTGTCTATATCTATAAAACAGTTAACAAATAAACAGCACATTAATGTGTACTCAAAGAAAAGAAGGTATGTGTAATGGCACTTGCAGAATGGTGAATTTATATGGCATCACTGTAAACACACACGGCCCTAAACACTTGCAGATTATAAACATGTATGATTATGCATATTCATACATGGGAATTCATATGAGGATGCGTATTGTTTATCCACAAATATGTGAGATAAACACATACACTTCGCAACAAAATGTGCAAATTGTTCCAAAGACAGGATGGCTGGAAGAATGGTCCTATCCTTTCTCCAAACCACACAGATTTGACAGCTTCAAGAGTGGTCCAGAAGTTTTCCAGGAAGTAGGAAAACTCCCAGAAGTAGGAAGTGGTGTTTCTGGAAGTAAATTTTCTAGAATAAAAAGTAGTTTGAGCATGCCCTGAAGATTTACAACCATAAAGTTGCTGAACCAACTCTAGACTGTCCAGATTGGCATGGTCCAGAGGAGTAAAAGAAGATGCTGGAAACAATGTTTGCACAAACCTAAATGGAACATCATAATCCAGTAAAAATACTTTGATACTGATATATGGAAGAAAGGGAGAGAGGGAGGGAGGGAGGAATATTATCATGTCAAATAAACTCTGGGGATAAACATAGCACACTAATAACTATATGCCGCCTCCTTATTTCACTGTATCCCTGTTGTTTGGAAGTGTTTATAGGATACACAGGAAAAACACAGCAATGGCATAAATGGTTTTGTCTAATGTCTAATGTAGCCTTTTTCAGGAGCACAAAAGTCTAGCCAGAGCTACAGATATGAACAGGCATATAAGCTCTAGACATTCAAGCATGTCTGAGGAGATGGGGATGCATAGGAGACCTGCACAAATGAAACTAAAATGAGACAGTTGGAAGATTTTCATTCAAATAATTCCATGTTATTAATAATTAAAGCTTCTGATGCACAGTACTGGTTTGGTTTGTTACATTAAATCAGAATTTGGAGCATCTGAATACAGATTTAAGCATTAGGAAATAAAAAGCTAAACTGGGAATTGAGACTTTAGAGGCAACAACAGAGCACAAAAGGAGGAATCAATTGTGATTGCTTGGGGAGAAGGAAGTAAACGGCCTTATGGAACACAAAATTCGAAAAGACCATTCTAACACTGCATTCGATTAATTACTCTCCCAGGCTAAGTCAATGCTCAGAGCAAGGCAGGTCTGAAGGTGGCTAAATTTTGAACTCCTCTATCTACTGTGTGGACGCAAACCCATTAAGAAAGAGAGTGGGACATCTATCTCTAGTAAAGGATGCAAGCAAGAGAACCAAGAAGTCCTGAAGAAGAGCAAAATATTTCAATACTTTATCCCTAATACACAGATATTAATATTTTCTTCAACCTGCTGTCTCAATGCTTCCTCAAGCTACAATAATGAAAGTGTGAGGATTCCAACTATTGCCACATTTCTCAGCTATTGATTCCTCAGTAGAAGAGCTTTATTAGAGATTCAGGAGTGACAAATTTGGTTCAATACTTCAGAATACCATTTTTATGGAGACCTTTCTGTTCTGACCAAGCATTCAAAACTATTGCCAGTGCAAAATGATAAATCCTGTCATTTCATCCTAATGTAAGAGGTGCTTTGGAATCATGTTGGAAGAACTCAATTTCACCAAGTCATAATATATAATAACTTTCAGCTGTGGTTCACACACTGGCTCAAATTATCTATGGTTATTATAGTACCTGAGTCTTCTGAAGAGCACTGAGCAGGCTGATCTTTTCCTACATTCAGTTACTACCGCATCATAGTTGTGAAGGAATAGTAGTGGCAAAGGCAAGTGGGTCATCTACTGATCATTGGCTTACTTTGCAATTCCTCATTCTCAACAGCCTGCTTCCTGAGACTGCAGAAAAAGGGCTCCATTAATACTAACAGTGATGGATTTTTCTTTCTAATGGACACTTTCACATAAGAAACTAGAGAAGAAATTTGGTTCCCACAGATATTAAATGTAACTATCAAGAATTTGGTTTATATCATGAAAACCAAAAAGAGAGAGAAATGGCACCAATAAGAGAGGGAAATGGAGCAGAAACATGAGACTAATTGGGTTTACACTAACCTGCACATAATCCATTACCTTTTCAAGGGCACAACTGTATTATAATAAGAATTCATATGCTGCATTTATGATAAAAACATGTAAGAAAGTCTGGACTATTCTCTTTCAATAATAAGTGCTACAGTTCTTTGGTTTTATTAGATGCAGCACCAAATCGAGTGTGTATGTTATAGTAAAGCAGCCAATCGGGGGTCAAACAAAATAGGATGCAGGAAGAATTTAAAAGATGCTAAGACTGGGGGTTGTCTATGTAAAATCTTATATTTGCTGGTTCAAACAGAACTCACCACCACCACCACTGCATCCCATCTCACTTTCAATTTCCTATTGCAGCACACCTCCTTAAGTCTGGCTATAAAATGTGATTATATTCATTGTTCTACTGAATATAATTTCCTCTCCTTTATATTACTCTCCAAATATTTGTTTGCAGACAAAATGTAGCAAGCTCTCAACATGGATCAGTAACCAAATTTTGTTTCGGCTGGACGGAAAAGAATCAAAAACTATCAGCAGTTTCTCTTTTCAGTCCCTAAAAACATAAGTAAACAGATAACTTTATTCTTCACCCCTTTTTTCTTCTGGGGCAATAGGCTCCCTGGTCCACTTGAGTTGGGCGGTGTCTCGGTCTTCTGCAGAACCAAGGTCACATGACAGACCTGCCATTCCATCACCATTGCCTTCCATGTCCAATTCTTCAAAGGAGGAACCACTGCCCCCCGATTCACTGTAGCTACGCTCACTGCGATTATCTGCCTCATCTCGACTGTGGCCAGATGCAAAAGGAGATAGGATGGAGGTAGCTACGGAAGTCTCACTGATGTCAGTTGTGGCTTCGAGGCTGACAGAACTTGTCTCACTCATGGTGTCCAAACCTTTATTTGAAATTAAAAGAGAAAGTTAACACCAAATGGAGGCAATAAAATAAATCATCATTCAGTGTCTACAGCAATCATTCACCCTTGCATTTCTCTGAAGGTAGTTTAAATTCTCCAATCATTAAGATTAAAAACCGTAGTAATCTATTACACTAAAAGGTCTCTTTAGTCTCCATTGGAAGAACGTGGGGAAATGTTACATCGCTGTTCTGCAAGCTACATTGGCTGTAGTAGCCAGTGAATTGGACACAGAAGCACAGTTTGCTTCTGTGTCCAATTCAACATATTAGTTGTCACCTGTAAGGCCACCCAGGGCATGGGTCCAGATTATCTGAGGAACCAGATTATTCCAATTTGATGACCTTGCCCCACCCATGCTGGCAGAAGAGGTGTGTTGCTGACCCCATCATTTAAAGAACTCCAACTATGTCCTATGATTCTTTATTTATTTGACTTGTCTGCCATCCATCCCACCTAGATTACCTTTTGAAATAGGGAGAAGAGTCTTTTCTGCCATGGTGCCTGCCCACTGGACTGTCCTCCTCACCACCACCTGAGGTGAGTTCCCTATCCTTCCTTCTGGTCTTACAAAAAGGCCTGAGGACTTACAATACAATAGCAGAATTGGAAGGGACCTTGGAGGTTTTCTAGTCCAACCCCCTGCCTAGGCAGGAACCTTATACCATTTTAGACAAATGGCTAACCAACATCTTAAAGACTTCCAGTGTTGGGGCATTCACAATTTCTGGATGCAAGCTGTTCCACTGATTAATTGGTCTAACTGTCAGGAAATTTATCCTCAGTTCTAAGTTGCTTCTCTCCTTGATTAGTTTCCACCCATTGCTTCTTGTTCTACCCTCAGGTGCAGAGGTTGAGAAGAACATAATATTTTGTGGGTAACATGATAGCAGCCTTCCAGTATTTTTTAAAAAGAGTTTTATTATTTTTTAGTTACAAAAATAAACATTCCATCTTTCCTTCTGCAGCGTGGGTACTAATATCTCGGTGCAATATCATTCCTCTTTTTGCCACATCTTTCACATTCATATTAACATTATTTCCCCAAGTTTAGCATTATAATATATCGAGCATTTAAACGTTATGGAACTCTCCATGTTTCTTCTTAATATCTTCTAGTAATAATATCAAAGGAACATTAAACATCATTCTTCGCATCATACGCATACTAACAGTTTCCATCTTATTTCTATCTCTATCTAAGTGTATTGTGCAGTAGCCAAGGTGGCGCAGTGGTTAAATGCAGCACTGCAGGCTACTGCTAGATCA